CCACGCCCACCACGGACGGAGAGGGCGGGACCCGAGTGTCGCAGCCCAGGAGGGGGCTCGGGTGTTCAAGAACTGTGTGTGTGTGTGTGTGTGTGTGTGTGTGTGTGTGTGTGTGTGTGTGCGCGTGCGCGCGTGTGTCGGTGTGTGTCGGTGTGTCTGTGGGTGTGGGTGTGTCTGCGTGTGTGTCTCTGTGTGTGTTAGGGGTGTGTATATTGGTGTAACGTGTCTGTTGGTGTTTGTCGGTGTGTGTACTGGTGTCAGTCTGTGTGTGTCAGTGTGGTTTTTTGGTGTGTGTGTCAATGTGTGTGTGTTGGTATGTGTCAGTGTGTGTGTCGGTGTGTGTTGGCATGTGTGTCTCCGTCTTGGTGTGTGTGTGTGTTGGTGTGTGCTTGTGGTGGTGGTGGTATGGGGTTTTTTGTTTTTGTTCTGGGCATCATGATCTTTTAGGAATCCATAGTTGAAGTGCAGAAAATGAGGTGACCTGGGGGAAAAATTGAAAATGAGATTTTGAAAATACAGATTTTCCTACTTCATTTTTCTCTCAAACCAATTTAGCTGTAAGTTACATATTGATAAGTGCCCAGAATAGGCGGCGAGGCTGTCTCCTGCCCTCATTGGACTCCAGGTTCTGGTGTGAAGGTAATTTTGCCAACTGGAAACCTACTCCCCAGACTTCAGTCTGCGAACTAAGTGATGATCTTAGTTTTGCCTTACTTCTTCCCCTGCCCCCCTTTATGGTTCTGAGGGTTGAACCCAGGGCCACGCACATGCTAGGCAGGCACTTCACCACTGAACTACATTCCCAGCCCTTTTATTTTTATTTTTTTATTTTGAAACAGGGTCTTATTATGCTGCCTAAGCTGGACTTGAACTTGCCATCCTCCTGCCTCAGCCTCCTGGGTAGCTGGAATTATTCCACAGGCCCTGTTCTGATCCGTATCCCTGCTTCAGGTGGATAACTTTACACCTAGCTTGGCCCAGGTTTAATTCAGATCATTTTTTAAAAAAAAATTCATTGGTAAATAATATCACCTAGTGTCTCCTTCCGTTTTAGGAAATTTTATTGATTACTACACACATTTTTAAGTATTTTTTGCTGTGTCATTCTTAGCCTCTCCTGGTTGGCACTGTCAACACTTGGGGAGTGCTTAGTTCAGGATGCTGATGGACACTATATAGATTAACCAATATGACATACTTGTTGACTTCATTAAAAAGAGCACTTAAGATTTCATATAACTATAGTGTGTGTCATGTTGTGTACCAGAAATCTATGTAAAACACAAATTCCTGAAATGTAGGGACCTCATTGCATTCCTCAATGAAATGAAGTTCATCTTGCAATGTTGTGAACTTAGAAGGGTCTAGCATATAATCCTCAGTTAATGATAGGTGTTAATATTATCTCTTTTGATATCTTCCAAAGTGCTTTGCATGTGGCAAACAATAAGTACTAGTGGAATGAATGAAGGTATCGTGTCCCATAGATACACAGAGAAAAAACACCAGGATGAGACCCTCGAGCACAATGACTTCATTTCATCAATTCAGCTGAGTGTGGAGGTGTTCATCTGCAGTCATTTGCTAGATGCAGGCCCTCTTGACCTTGGGATGTGGGTCATTTAAAATTTTCAGAGGAAGTGTGCCTAATTAGCTAGGAGGGCTTAACCTCTTGTCAGTGTGGGACTTGAGAAGTTTGTCTGAATATGGAAAAGCTAAGCTCACTTGACACAGATTAGGGGAAAAAAGATTTCTACAAGTTATTCAAGTTATTCATGTCAAAAGCAATTAGGGGGCCTCAGCTTCCATTACATCATTCCTTAGGAAAGTATGTGCTGGGAGTGCTGCAGCTCATGTGATTTGATAGAGAAGTGAAATCTGGATTTTCTAGCCACATTCAGTTTTTATTATGCCTGCAGAAGACTGAAGCAGAACACAGAGATCTAGTTTATGTTCATGCCGTCAGACAGCTAAACAGTGGAAGCTTGTTGAAGAGATTTACTGAAAGCTGTTTCCTTAGATTACAGTCTAGTGAATTAATTAAAAAGATTTTGAGAGAGAGAGTGTGCCAGACCCCTACTTGCTCATAAGATAGTACTTTCTTACTGATGTGATGTGACAGTTGAGTTCAGTTTCATGTAAACCTGGAGGATGGTAACACAGAGCAGAGCCGATGTGTTCCGAGACATACAAGTGGCCATGACAACCGAGTCCACCAGCTACTGGACTCATTTCCTTTGGCTGCAGCACCTGAGCTCATATAAACTCACATTCTGACAAGATGTTGAACTATTTGATAAAAATGAAGTCACCAAATCTTGATGTGCTAGCGCTCTTTCACGCTTAGTTATTTTTACAGTACACAGGTTTCAAATGGTCCTCAGTTATTGGTCATATCCATGACATTCAGTTTCCAGGGCAATTGAGTGAGCTGAAAGTGAATCGTGTAAAAAGACACAGAGCCCTGAAATTTTAGAGACAAGCGGAATTGCAGAAGTATTCTAAAGTTTTTGGTCCAATTCTAGGCAGTGTTTGGGTCTAACTGGTTCAGAAGGCACATTCCTTTTTTTTCATGAAAATGTTAACATTGAAGCCCAAAGCAATGCCATTAATATATACCCATAGTCAAAAACGGAGTGTGCCATCTGGGCATGGTGGCATGTGACTGGAGTTCCAGCACCCAGGAGGCTGAGGCAGGAGAATCTCTTGAGTTTAGGAGTTGGAGAACAGCCTGGGCAATAGAGGGTTGCCCATCATAATGTTTGAAAACAAACAAAAAGGGAGGGAGGGAAGGAAGGGAGAGGAAGAAAGGAAGAGAAATTAAGAGTTCCCTGGCCGATTATAATTTATTCTGACTGCGAGGCACCTGAGACACCTCAGTTTTTATTGTTCACAACAGTGTCATTCAACAGGAATGTCGTGGGACCACTTACGGAATTTGTGATAAAATTGAAATTTGTATGAAATTTGTGTAAAATTTCTAGTAGCCATATTAAAAATTAAAAGACCTACAATCCCAGGAACTTGGGAGGCTGAGGCAGAAGGATTGGAAATTCAAGGCCAGCCTGGGCAACTAAGTGAGACCCTGTCTCAAAATAAAAAATAAAGCAGGGCACAGTGGCATATGCCTGTAACCCCAGCGGCTCTGGAGGCTGAGGCAGGGAGATAGCAGGTTCCAAGCCAGGCTCAGCAATATAGTGAGGCTGTATGCAACCTAGTGATACCTGTCTCAAAATGAAAAATAAAGAATGGGCTGGGGATGTGACGCAGTGGTTAAACGCCGTTGGGTTCATTTAATAGAAATCATATTTTAATATGAGAATAATAAAATTAAAAAATAAAAAGGAATGGAGATGTAGTTCTGTAGTATAGCACTCCTGAGTTCAATCCCTAGCCTAGTATCAAATTAAATTAAAACTGATGGGCTGGGGATGTGGCTCAAGCGGTAGCGCGCTCGCCTGGCATGCGTGCAGCCCGGGTTCGATCCTCAACACCACATACAAACAGAGATGTTGTGTCCACCGAAAACTAAAAAAAATAAATATTAAAAAAAAACTGATAAAATTCATCTTAATAAGGTATTATATTTCACCAAATATATCTGAATTATCATTTTAAAATGTAATCAATATAGAAATTAACAAATTATTTTACAGCCTATGTTTTTTTTTACTTTTTTTTTTTTTGTAGATAATAGTATTTTGTAGACAGAATACTTTGACTTTATTTATTTATTTTTAGGTGGTGCTGAGGCTCAAACCCCGTGCCTCACACGTGCTAGGAAAAGTGCTCTACCACTGAGCCACAGTCCCAGCCCCACATTCTTTGTTTTGGATTAAGTTTTTCTAATTTTCTAACAGCATATTTTGCCGCAGTCTGTCTGGGCACAAAATAACGGAGCGGCCACAAAGCCTTGTAGGTTCAAACAGCAACTCTTTATTCCCAAACTCTCACCGGCACTCTACACACACTTCCCGGGAACACTCTCCCTCCACTGGGCTCCAGGCACCAATTCTCCCAAACCGGGGAGAACTCAATGGGAACTCCAAAGTAGCGGGCACCCGAGGCAGCAGGATCCGCCCTAATCCCGCCAGCCGCCCTAATCCCCGGAGCAGGGTCACCTTTCAACCATTCCCTCTAGCAAAATGCCAGGCGTCATTCCGACTAAACTATGGTTCTCAACAATATTTCACATCGCACCAACCACATTTCAGGTACTTAAAAGCCAGAGGTAACTAGTAGCTACCATGCTGGGCAGTTCATGGGTGGAGGGAAATGCAGATGAGGGAAGAGGACATTTCAATTTAGTATAATAAAGACTATAATGAGCGAGGTCTAAGGTACATCAAGAGCGTATAGCAGTAGGGCTGGGGCTGGGGCTCAGGGGTAGAGCGCTGGCCTGGCACGTGCGAGGCTCTGGTTTC